TATTTGCCCAATATTGGAAAAATGAAAACTTACCAACAGTACTAATTAAGAAAATTCTAGAGTGCGCAGAAATGGATAGATTGATTTTAGAGATTAAAGAGAAAGAAGACTCAGTCTACTTTAGAACATGGGATAACTTTTACCAATGGCTAGAAAAACAAGTCAGAGAGAAAGGAATGTGATATGTAATTTTGAATATATATTAGTAAGAAGAAGGCTACTGAGTGATTAATTAATACTGTTTATGATAATTAACTATATCTATTGTTGTTAGTTAAATACATGTACCAAGACAATATGCTGTTTGCTAAATATTGAAAATGTTACCTGGAAAAACGCAACCCTAACCCTAACCCTAACCCCAACCCTAACCCAAACCTCAATCCTAATCCTAACCCCATTTTATCCCTAACCCTATAAAAACTAATTACTAATTCTCACGAAGGGAGAATGATTTCTTGATGTGGACATTCTTCCAGACAATATAGCAAACCCAAGTTTTGAGAATGTCCAGTAGTCAAAATCTATGCAATGAAAGCACTTAGCTTCTCTCCTCTCAATGAGGAATCAATTGAGTGAACAGGCAACAGAGGCAAAAGACAGAGGCAACATACTTAATGGGAAACTGCAGGAGAACCCAGGGTTTTCAGAGGCTTAGGAGAAAGCTTTAGAGGGGAATGAGATGGTTCACAAAATGTTCTTCTTCGCCTTATGGGAGGGAGCTCCAGACAGAAGTTTAGTTGAACTAAACTAATGGAGGCCTACAAAAAGTCAAGTTGGAGAAAAGCTGTAGGAAGAAATGTCTAGGCAATGATGATGACTTTGATGGATGATGGAGAGAATTCAGGTGTAAGAATGTCTCAAGATATAAACCAGACAGGTACTGGGGTATGGTCAGAGGGCTTGGTTTGGTCAGGGAAGTTTTACAAGTTCTAGTATACATCAAGAAAAAGCTCAGGATTTAAGGAAGCTTAGATAAGGAAATCCAAATCTGATGTCTGATGACGAGAAAGGTGTCATACAGAAGATTGTGGACCTGTGTAAATGTAATCCCTTTTATTTGCAGACCAGATATATGATATTCTCTGTGACAGCCTCTCAAGTACTGGAAAACAGTTACCATGCCCCCCTAATCTTTCTCTTTGTTAGGCTAGGCATACTTACTTCCCTCAACCGTTCATCATAGGGTTTTGCCTCCAGACCCTTTGTTGCCCTTCTCTGCACACTTTCCAGTGCCTCAGCATCATTTCTGCATTGTGGTGAGCAGAATTGGATGTGGTATTCCAAGTGTGATCTCACCAGTGTGGTATACAGCGATATTATCATTTCCACTAGGACACCTGGAGCCTTTTCACAGTTACTACTGTTGAGCCAAGTGCCAACTATTCCGTACCTGTGCATTTGGTTTTTCTTGTCTTACTTTTTCAGGGCCTTACTTTTCTCCACACTGAATTGCATTTTGTTAGAGGGGGCCCAATTTTCAAATCTGTCAAGATCCTTCTGAATTTTAAGTCTATTTTCCAAATTATTACCAATTCCCCCCAGTTTGGTATCATCTGCAAATTTGATGAACTAACGTTTTATTCCTTCATCTAGATCAGGGCTTTTCAACCTTTTCACCCATTGTACCTCTTTTAGGATATGGCAACATATGAGTACCACCAGTCACCTAGCAAGGTGTCAAAAACTTGATGACCAAAAAAAAAGAAAAAAAAGAAAAAAGTGTTGTAAGTGTTGACTTACAACAGTTTGCTTAGTGACTGTTTGAAGTTACAATAGCACTGAAAAAAGTGCCCCCCAAACCACAGCCGAGCAAGACACCTGCCTGCCTGCCGGACCGTCCGGTGGTGCTCTTCCTCCTGTCCGAGGTTTTCATTGTTGTGAGCATTTCTGTTGAGGATTGGCAGTGGGGGTGGGGTGAGGGGTGCTTGGTTTTTATCCCCCCCCCAATCTGCTGGGTGGTTGCAGTAGGTTTTGGTCAATTCACATGACCCTGGGACACTGTTACCGTCATAAATATGAATCAGTTGTCAAGCATGTGAATGTAAATCACAAGACCCTGGAGATGCTGCAACATTCCAGCTGATCGGTGCTTCTTCTGGGTTCAGCAGAAGCGCCAGGATCAGCACCGAGATCCAGCTGGAGCCTGGCTCTGATCCTGGGGCTTCCACTGAGCCCTGACAGCCCTGCAGCTCCAGCCATCTCTCGCTCAGCCTTGTGCAGTGCTGCCACCGTTTCAGCTCATTCCCCTCCCCCACTACCACTTTTCTAGGGTGCTCACGTACCACCTGCCAGTTGCCAATGTACCACAGGTGATACCCGTACCACTGGTTGAAAAGCCCTGATCTAAATCATTTATGAAAATGTTGAAGGCACAGAAAGTAAGGTTCTACATTTAGGCAAGAAAACCCAAATGTACAGGTATAGTATAGGTGGTACCTTGCTCAGTAGTAGTAACTGTGAGAGGGATCTAGTGGACAATCACTTAAATATGAGCCAGCAGTGTGCTGCAGCTGCCAAAAAAACCAACACAGTGCTAGGCTGCATTAACAGAGGGATAGAATCAAGATCACGTGAAGTATTAATACCACTTTACAATGCCTTGATAAGGCCACACTTGGAATACTGCATCCAGTTTTGGTCACCACAATGTAAAAAAGATGTTGAGACTCTAGAACAGTGGTTCTCAACCTGTGGGTCGGGACCCCATTTGGGGTCGAACGACCATTTCATAGGGGTCGCCAAACCATGCTGTCCACCATTTTGTTCCCTTTTCCCTAGCTGTCCTACTCCCTCTCATTGGTGGCCACACCCACTTGGGGGTCACCACAACATGGGGAACTGTATTATGGGGTCACGGCATTAGAAAGGTTGAGAACCACTGCTCTAGAAAGAGTACAGAGAAGAGCAACAAAGATGATCAGGGGACTGGAGGCTAAAACATAGACAGAACGGTTGCTGGTATTGGGTATGTCTAGTTTAATGAAGAGAAGGACGAGGGGGGGACATGATAGCAGCCTTCGGATATCTCAGGGGCTGCCACAAAGAAGAGGGAGTCAAAGCATCTGAAGGCAGGACAAGAAGCAACGGATGGAAACTAATCAACGAGAGAAGCAACCTAGAACTGAGGATAAACTTCCTGACAGTTAGAACAATTAACCAGTGGAACAACCTGCCTCCAAAAGCAGTAAATGCTCCAACACTGGAAGTTTTAAAGAAGAAATTGGACAACCATCTCTCTGAAATGGTATAGGGTTTCCTGCCTGAGCAGGAGGTTGGACTACATGACCTCCAAGGTCCCTTCCAACTTTTTATTATTATTATTATTATTATTATTATTATTATTATTATTATTATTATTATTATTATTATTGGACTACATGACCTCCAAGGTCCCTTCCAACTTTATTATTATTATTATTATTATTATTATTATTATTATTGGACTACATGACCTCCAAGGTCCCTTCCAACTTTATTATTATTATTATTATTACCTTGAGTACCCCACACATTGAGTGTGGTTGGTCTGTCAATTGTGGATCGGCCCATTTTCTTCCTTTTCAGAGGCAAAATATCATATATGTTGACAACAATGCAGAGCTCTCCCCAGAGGCAATTTCTTCCAGCACTTCTTGGAATGTTCTAACATCCATGCAATGTTGTGTGATTATAGTCATTCCAAGAATGAAAGTTGACAAGAGTCAGCTTCTGATCATGATGCCCTTCTGAACACACAGAACATTCTTGCCATGAAAATGAAGAAAACTTCATCCCCTTTGGACACTATGTACAGTTTCAAAAACATTACATTTCCCACCATTCTATCCCCTCCAGGGGAAAAAACAGAAATTGATTGGGCTGATCAACAAAGATTCATTCTCCTATGGATATTTTCTGGGAGCAAACATAAGTGAAAACCTCCACATCCACTCCTGACAAGTTCACTGATGCAATTCATATGCAACTATTGTGGAAATGGTCACAAGAGGTCACAGAATTGCTGAAGAGACAGAGAGCAATGAGCATTGGTAAGGGAAAAGTGAAGGTCATTTGCTCTTCAGGAGGCTTAACAGCAATGATAGCAATGAATAGGATAAACCAGAAAATGTTGCCGACAGAGACAAAACCAGATGAATCATATGTGATGATACTAAAGTTTCCAAGCAGAAATATCCAAGAGGCCATCAGAAGTTTAGAGATGGATGAAGAGCTGAGAATAGCAGAGGGTAAATACCAAGTTTTGAGGGACTCCAGTGGAATTCCTTACAGAGATTTTCTGCAGAAACAGTTAGAGAAGCAGCCTTTGCTCATGTGGGCTGCATCACAATCATGAAGTTCTCATAGTACAACATAGTTGACACTGTGTAATGTAATTCACTAGAAATCTGACCTGCCAAATTTCCTAGTGGACATGCCCAAAGTCCAATGTATAATTAAAAGATAGATTTTGGAGTCCTGAATCATTGTTTTTTGCCCTTCAGAGGGCACAAACAGTTCTTGGCCTGAAAATTCTAAGAAGGGGGGGGGGGACATGGAAACATGCTCCATTGCTTTTGATGGCCCAAGTCAGAATTTGTTCCATGTTTTGTGATGTTGTTCCACGTTTTGTGATCAGGAAAGCTGGAGACATAGAACATAGAATAATAGGTTGGAAGGGACCTTGGAGGTCTTCTAGTCCAACCCCCTGCTCAAGCAGAAGGCCCAATACCGTTCTGTTCAGTCTTTTCTTGAAAGCCTCCAGTGGTGGAGACCTTCCTTGTGGCTGCGCAATGCTGAGCGTAAAGGCACCTTGATGGCTCTGAGCCCAGAGCTAACTGGCCGCCTCCACATTTTTAGCTTGGTTCCCACCAGCCAAAACAAAAGAGTAGGAATGCTTTTGACTTTTGACCAATGTGAATGGCAATTTTTACCTGTAGCTTCTTTCATTGTCACTTGGCACTTGGGAGCTCTCTGAGCTCTCCCTGAACAGATGTTGTGCTTCTTCTTTCTCCGTGCAGCTCTATGGACAAAGTGACGCTACATTTTATTGACCGGGATGGAGAGAAATACTCGGTCAACGCCAAAGAAGGGGAGAGTCTGCTGGAGGTTGTGATAAATCAAAATATTAACATCAATGGCTTTGGTTAGTGGTGAGATTCTGCCTTTCTCTCTTCAGACTTTATTGATTACCAATAATCTGTTATTTTAGGAGTTGGCAAGATTGTTTTACAGAATGGTCTACTCTAGGCAACAAAACAGCCACATCCTGAGATCTGTGCCTCGTCTCATTTTTCTGGGACACACCAGCAAGGCGAACTCAGAGCACTGGATACAGTTAACACTCACAGTTTGAACATTCTGCATTTTCTTTCTAAGCCTAGATATATTTATTTATTATTTATTATTTTTATTATTATGCCTTTATTATTTTTTTTAATAATTCAAGGTTGTGAACATCCCTGATACTCCTTCCTTCTCCTATTTTCCCTACAAAAACTTTGTGAGATAAATTCTGCTGAGAGAGAGAGAGAGTGATTGCCTCAAAGTCACCCAAGGTCACCCAAGGTGGCACTAGAACTCACTGTCTCCCTGTTTCTAATCTGGTGTCTTAACCACCAGACCAAACTGGCTCTCTTAAAAGTTTGCATCATTTGGTTTTACTTATAGATGTTATTATTATTGATTAAATTTGTATACTGCCTGATTCTCAACAATTGTGAGCAGCTCACCATTAAACAAAGAAATTACAGTGAAAGAAATGAAAAAAATAAATAAAGATGTACTGAGCATCTTTTTCTTTTCCTGCTAGAATAAAAAAGGAAAGTAGGAGGGACAGAAGGAGGGTGGGAGAGGGAGAGTATCACATTGTAGTAAAGAAGATTAACCAGGAGATGGCAGCAAACTGGGCCTACAAAGTCCAAGCCTCTGGTGGTCACAACTCTTTCAACTCTGGGGGTTGAAATATCTGAGCAGCTCCTTCTTCCGCTGAAAATGTTACCTAGCCTGGTAATGAAACCTTCAGAAACCAATCCACAAGCTCAGAAAACAAACCTCCACCGTCATCCTATGCCCCAGCTACAAATATTGGCCACTATCGCTAGCTCATTCTTCTTCCGGTCAAAGGATGCTTCTCATCAGCCTGCTATGGTGATGGGGCCATTTTGTGACTAGATGTAGTTGCCACCACAGCTGGTTGTGAGTGCAACCACCACATACTTTCCACATTGCAAGTGTGTCTCTACAACTAAAGTATTTCCACATTGCAAGTGTGTCTCTACAACTAAAGTATTCCCACATTCAAATGATCATCTCTTATACTCAAGTATTTACTTAAGTTTGCTTCATCCATCCATTCCTTTTACATGAAAAATAAAATATAAACCAGCAATTTCCTCCACATTTGGATATCCAGAGGGCAGAAAAACATGTGATTAGCAATAACCGAGCCCCAGTTTGTTTCTGAATTTATTCTAATTTTCATACCTATTATATGTAGCGCAGCTCCATCCAATCAATTCTGCTGTGCATCCTGTGTTTTTTGCAACATGACACCATTTGCTTTCATTGGTGCTCTGTAAAATTGAGGATGGGAAGCTGATGCTTTAATTTTTGGTTGCTCTCCTGAGTTTATAGAATGCAGGCACCTCTGTAAACCCACAAAGTGAGCCTTGCATGGCTTCTGCCAATGGCAGTCTCTTTTCTCCCGCAGGGGCGTGTGAAGGCACCCTGGCCTGCTCCACTTGCCATCTAATCTTTGAGAAAGCAGCGTTTCAACAACTGGGTGAGATCAGTGACGATGAGCTGGACATGCTGGACTTGGCCTACGGACTGACTGACACGTAAGCATCCTGGGTGCCCCTTCCCTGCTCTGAGTGCAGAGGGGGGAAGGGGGAGCAATTCAGCTGCTTCCAACTCTGCACTCTGGCCGTTTGTAAATTAAGAGAAGAATGCAAGCTGCTCATCTACCTGACTCCAAGGACTCCTTCCTGGGGAGCAACCCCAAGCATGTTGCGTAGATGTTGGTGAGCTCAGTCAGTTTGCCACATTCAGAAAAAGATTTGAGAAGGCGTCAAGCAGGATCCTTCCCAGCTTTGCATAAGTGGAAGCATAATTATGTAGAGAAAAGAAATGCTTGTTTTCTGGACCAATTTGCCTTGGGCATCCCTAAAGGTAAAGGAAATGGAGTGCCTGCAGATTTTACCCCCCTAGTCATTGCCAACCATAGGGGGTGCAGCTCATCTCCATTTCAAGGCCATGGAGCCAGCATTGTCCGAAGACATTTCCACGTCATGTGGCCAGCCTGATGTCCCAGAGCATTCTTCCCACTGAAGTGGTGCCTATTTATCTACTCACATTTGCATGCTTTCAAACTACTAGGTGGGCAAGAGCTGGGGCAAGGATGGGAGCTCACCTCATTGTGTGGCGCTCAGGTCTTGAACCCGGACCGCTGACTTTCCAGGCAACAAGCCCAGCATCTTAATCATATCCCTTTATAGAATCTTTTGGATTTTGATTTTGGTTGTTGTTCTCAGCTCCCACTGTGTCCTTAGCCCCAAGTGGCATTTTGAGCTGTATCTAAGGCTGGGCTCACAAGGGATGCCAGAGGCCCTGCCTTCGGCCCTACTCATGCAGTGGGTAAACCTGGCAAAAGGTTATGTTGTTACATGGTAAGAAAGTGATGCCCAAATCCAGATGTTTGTATCTCCTTTTCAGATCTCGTCTTGGTTGCCAGGTGTGTGTGAAGAAATGGATGGATGGCCTGACTGTCCAGGTGCCCACGGAGGTCTCAGATATCAGGAGAGAACTGGAAGTGGAGAAGCAAAAGAAACAGTAGTCAAAGCACACGACATACCCTGCAAATATTATCTTGACCCTGTGTCAAGGTTCCGACTAATGAGACACTTCAAAGAACTTCCAGGCATTGTTTATCCTAAAAGCCTTTATTAACAGTGTAACAGATTGTCAGCACATCATGGATGGATGCCAAGATCTGAAGTCTGGACCCCAAAGCAGTTTTTTTTGCTAGCATTTTCCCTCCCTCTTTTGCTGTCATAAGTCACATTCTCCAACCAGCCTGGGGGGCAAAGGTTCACTTCCTTCTGAAGCCCTCGCAAATTGCTCTCTCTCTACATTCTTCCTCCCCCCTCCCATTCTCATCTGAGTTAACTCTAAAAGTGCCAGACAGTTCTGCATATTTTCTCAAAGCAAGAATATTCAATATTAGCAGCATTGACACCCTGTTAAAAGAAGGGAGGCCCTTACTTTCCACACTGAACAGAAACACCCTAAACCAACCAATCCCCATTTCCAAGTTACATAACTTGTTGTGCCCAACAAATTCAAGCACACGGTGGCTTAATATGATAGCTTAGTTCAGATTATACATGGAAAGAATCACTGGATCATCCTAACCACTTAACCATGTGAAACATAGCTCCATTTAGCCACACTTAGGCTGTTGTGCTGGGCCAGCTCCTGAAAGGGGTTCTGTGCTCAGAATCTGTAGCCTCAAGCAACAAATCTGAATTGGGATGAAAAATCAGTGATCTGTGATGCTCACTTTTGCAAGAGAGAGGGAGAGAGGGAGTTGTATGTCGGTTGCTACCAAGGAAGTTTCTTTATGGCTTAATAAAATTGATGGGGGGAAGATTGTGAAGTCCCAAAGTAGCAGCCTATTCCAAGCTCATCAGTCGGGGGCTACATTTATCCCCTCCGAATGGGCTGGGATGTGCTCTTACTTGGAGGTCCCCCCCCCCCCCCGTGGCTGTTCCATGAGGCAGAGGAGAAGCAGAACTCACCCCAACTGAGCCAGCGAAAACAAAATCAAGCCCAACTGGCCGGATCACAGGACCCATCTTTGCACTCTGGCCCCGTGGTGCCCTGGAGATTTCCCTCGCACTAAGTCACCAAGCATTGGCTCTTCTAGACTGGAGGCCAATCCCCATTTGAAGTGATCCCTCGGAGAAGACAAATGCGGAATTCCATGGATGTGAAGTTAGAGAGATGCAGCTATGAATAGGGTCTGTTCCTGGCTATGAAGCCTGTTGCTCTGGTTTTCACAGTGGATTATTTCTCCGCACGTGAATTTTCATTGTGCATGTTCACAAAGTGTATTTGGAAGAATTTCCCCTTTACTGCTACTCATGTCAAATTAGAATAGAATAGAATAGAATAGAATAGAATAGAATCTGGAAGAGACCTTGCAGGTCTTCCAGTCCAGCCCCCTGCTCAAGCAGGAGAACCTATACCACTCCAGATAAGTGACTGTCCAGTCTCTTCTTAAAAACCTCCAGTGATGGAACACCCATGATTTTGAAAGGCAAGCTGTTCCACTGGTTAATTGTCCTCACTGTTAGGAAGTTTCTCCTTAATTCCAGATTGCTTCTCTCTCTCACCAGTTTCCAACCATAGTTTCTTCTCCTGCCTTCTGGTGCTTTGGAGAATAATTTAACCCCCTCTTCTTTGTAGCAGCCCCTCAAATACTGGAATGCTATCATGTCACCCCTATTTCTTCTTTTCTTTAGACTAGCCAAACCCAACTCCTGAAGCTGTTCTTCATATGTTTTAGTCTCCAGGCCTTTGATCATTTTAGTTGCTCTTCTCTGAATTTTTTTCCAAATTCTTAACATCTTTTTTGTAGTATGATGACCAAAATTGGATGCAGTATTCCAGGTGTGGTCTTACTAGGGTTTTATAAAGCAGTATTAATACTTCACATGATCTTGACTCTATGCCTCTGTTTATACAGCCCAGGACTGTATTAGCTTTTTTGGCTGCTGCTGCACACTGCTGGCTCATGGTTAAATGATCATCCACTAGGACTCCAAGGTCCCTCTCACAGTTATTGTTTTTGAGCCAGGTCTCACCTAATTTGCACTTATACCTTTGATTTTTCCTGCCTGAATGTAAAACTTTGCTTTTCTCCACACCATTTTGTTGGATAGGGCCCATTGTTCAAGTTTGTCAAGATCTTTTTGGATCCTGAGCTTGTCTTCTGGGGTGTTGGCTATTCCTGCCAGTTTAATGTCATCTGCAAATTTGATGAGTTCCCCTTCTATTCCCTCATCTAAGTCATTTATGAAGATATTGAAGAGTACTGGAACTAAGATGGAGTCTTGTGGTACCCCATTGCTTACTTCTCTCCATTGAGGACTACTCGTTGAGTATGGTTTTCCAGCCAGCTACAGATCTATCTGGTGGTGATGTTGTCTATTCCACCTTTTTCTAGCTTACTAAGCAGCAGGTTGTGATCTACTATGCCAGATGCCTTACTGAAATATACTAAGTATACTATGTCCACAGCATTTCGCTTGTCTACTAATTTAGCCACTTTATCAAAGAATGAAATAAGATTGGTTTGGCATGATCTGTTTTTAACAAACTCGTGCTGGCTACCAGTTATAACTTTGTTTGCTTGTAGTTGTGTTGGAAAGGTAGAAATAAAAACTTTCAAAACAAACAAAAAAGGTATCTAGCAATTGTCAGATGGTCAAATGCAACTCTCTGTAGTGAAGACTGTCCAGGGAAGGCAATCAAAGCTCCACACTGAGTAAATTTACACTATTGTAAATTGAACCAATTACTGATGTCAGGATTTTTCACCTTTGGGAAACTATAAGATGAAGCTATATACAGCATATAGTAAATGTCCACCCTGTATCAAATCTCATACTGCACAATACTAGAAGCACTTTTGGAGCATCCCTGAGAAATTTTCACTGCTGTTTTAGCTTACCAATTGCCGGGATAATTGTTTCTCACAGTAATTAATCAGATTTTTTTTTCAAAAAAATTATTGAACCTGTAGAGATTTGGATAGTCTAGGAGAGTAAAGGGACATCAGAGTGGCTGTATTCTATACAGCTTCATGCCGCTGGCAACATTTAGTAATCAAATAGTAAATTCTGAACTAAATACATATTTTTAAATGCAGTTTTTATATTTGACAAGTTTATCCATTATATCAACATCTCTTTGCCATAACAAGGCACTTTATATTTCACTGAGGATGATTAAATAGATGTTTCTTGGTACTATTTATGTTAGTGTTCCCAAGAAATTAATTTGACTAGGGCCATCAAACTATGCTCTTCATTAGAAATAAGCATTTAAAAAACAATAATTCTTGCTTCTCTGGACAAGGCTCAGCAGAGGCCAAAGGGAGGTCTGCAAATAGTTGGATCCTGTTTCAAACGCATCCCCTAGTTTGCCAAGCAGTCACAACTGGTCTTGTGTTTGCTGCCTTGCTGAAATCTAAAGGTCTACTGATTGGAATTGGCTTGAGTGAATGCCTGGACAAATGGTCAGCTGAAGACCTGGGCTGTTACTGACCTCTGCCTACAGTGCATCAGTCACAGAGGCCACTCTGCAGACTTGCCTAGGGAGGGGATGTGCCTTTGATTATTTAAATTTGATTTTGATATCAGTGCTAATGGGGGAAAGTGTACCTTCTCCAATTTTAAAATAACCTGGAAGAGCAAGGGAGGGAAAAGGGTTGGGAGGAGAGTGGGGGCAATTTGGCTAGAAGGACAAAGACTGGGGATTGGATCACACAATATTTTAGACTAGCTAAAACTCCCCCTGAGGTGGTTATGTGGTTCCAAATGTGGGAAACCCAACCATTTTTCAGTGGTTGTGTGGACTGGAGGCTTTTAAGAAGAGTCTGGACAGCCACTTATCTGGAATGATTCTGCCTGAGCAGAGGGTTGGACTAGAAGACCTCCAAGGTCCCTTCCAACTGTGTTATTTGGTTATTATATTAAGCCATGGGATGCATTAAGGCTAGGCATTTAGCATAGTACAGTATGCAAATGCAACAACCATGTTTTGAAAATCCAGGTTTTACTTCTGGAAACAAGCTGAGTAACAGTTTTGGACTAGGAGGACTAGAGAACTTCTGGTGAGGGCAAAAAGCGAGAGGTGCTCCCTGGGTGGAGGTGAAAGAGTCAAAGAAAATAAGTGCATAGAAGGGAGGGAGAGGATCAAATATCCAGGGTCTCAAGGATAAGAGCAAATGTCCAGGAGCTACATACTCCAAGTTCCCAAAGGGATGTCTTGCAGCCAGGGAGACCCACAGAAGAATAACCAGAAGCCCAAATCCAGCCCAGCCCAAGTCCACGTTAAGGCTCTAGAGCAGGAGTTTCCAACTCCTGGGCTGTGGCCCACTATTGGGCCTTGAGCCTTTTGGAAGCACAAGCAGTGGGTGAGCATGTGTGGGTGCCCACCGCTTGCTCAAATGCTTGTCTGCCACACACATGGAACCATCCCCTTGCTGGTCTGCAAAGCCAAAAAGGTTGGAGAACTCTGCTCTAGAGCAGTATTTCTCAACTTCGGCAACTTGAAAATGTGTGGACTTCAACTTCTAAATATAAATTCTCTTAATCAATCAAAACTTTCAACCACTCAATGTCTATTCTATACAAATCTATAATTTCTCACATATTTAAACTTAAACTGAAACTCTCCATTTATTTAAGATATATTATAATCTCATTAATACATTTCTAAAACAAATTTTCATTTATATTGCTACATATGAATTTCATTAATCAATAAACGTTTAGAAGAGCTCATTATCTATCCCAAAAATCCTGTTTTACACTTTATTAATTTTTCAAATGTTAAAATTTAAACTAACCTATATATTTACTATTCAGGTACTCCAAGTTTCTCTTGTTTAAATCTACTCTTTTTCAATAATTCTCCAATTATTAATTCCATCTCATTCCCCCCCCCCAAAAAAGAAGGACCAAACAATAAAGAGCAAAGAGAAAAGAAAAGAAAGAGAAAAAAGAAGCATATTCTTGCTACATTTCAGTATTAAATTCTAAATCATTTCTTAATAGCCTCCCTTTTAACAAAATCCAAATCCAAAACAATCCAAGTCGCTATAAAACCTTTACCATCCATAATTATCATCTCAAATTTAATATTTATATCTTATTCTGGGTTTCTTCCTATTCCAAATAGGTTTCCATAGTCGAATCTCTAGTTCCTCAGATAGCTCTCCCATTCTTTCCTGCCACACTGTACAAGCAACAAGAGGTCTCCCATTGTCCGTTTTATTGGGCTGATATAAGAGTTACAGCTATTCTGAATAACTCATGTCAGAACATCATTTTCCATCTTTTTAAAAGTTGTATAAACTTTACTTGAAATCATTTTTTTAATATAGTCCTCTAATCAAATTTTGCTCTTCTTCCAATAGTTTTTCCTCGATCAGAAAGTCAAATGGTGTCTGCAAATCAGCTTGTCCTTCTGAAGTAAGCTCCTCCATTTCCTTATTATAGGTCATTTGTCCATTAATATCAAAACTTTTTTCCAATATCAATCGGTAATCCAACTGTACATTTGCTTCCTCCATCTCAATGGACTGAGAACAAGTCTCTTGAATATGAACTGCTGTTTCACTTAAACCTTGTGCTTTGCTTTGTTGATGCAGAGAGATCTGCTTACTGCAGGCAATTATCTCCATGTTTTCCAAAATTTTGTCCAAAATATACTTATAAATAGAATCTGAACAAGTTTCCTTCATTTTTATCATATTTGAAGACATTATCTTTTTTGGGGAAACTATATTTACCAGTAATCAATCAATATCCATCTCAGCCCAAGTTCCTTAGTCTCTTTCCTTTGTACAAATTCCAAGAGAAGAAAATAGCAAACGCAATATGTAGTTTCAGCAGAAAATGTCCCCTAAAGAGTCATCAAAGTTAATTAAATATTCAGTCTTTTCGGACACCATAAAAAATAAAAACAAACAATATTCTCCAAATAAATAGCGTGTTAAGTCTCAATAAGAAATTTCCTTGGGACTCCCAAATAGCCAAAAATAAAATCAGTCATTAAAACAAAAATAGATTTAGTCTTTTTCTTAGGCTTTTCTTCCCCCATTTAAAATGCCGCTTCAACAAAAAGGGAAATGAGTCCAAAAAAAAGCTTTTCACAGGAAAAAAAAAAGAGAGGTTAAAAAAAAAGTCTCACTGAATCTTCCACGGTGGGTCTGTTTGCTTAGATGATCTTATGGCTTATGGTTGGCGCAGCTAAATGATCGGCCATTTTACTGATCGATCTTTACTCTGTTGGCCCAAAGAAGATACTTGGACTACAGAGGGCACTGCCGCCCCTCTGCAGCCATCCGAGAAGCCTCCTCAATGGTGGTTGCTCCTCCAGAGCAACTTTTCGACCCTCTCAGGGGTCTACCGACAGAGGAAACTCAGCCGGCAAAGGGACGACTCCCTTTGCTCGACCGCACTGCCACGACCTGGAACCGGA